GACGGAAGCAGTTGATTCCAAATGAGCTCCACTAAGTAGAGGAACTTTAGGAATCTAAGAAAATAAAAAAAACTTGTGTGCTGTACAGGAGGAAATCATCTTGAGCACTTAAAGTATGAATTTGGGTGATATTTAAAAAACAATTGTTTTATTTCCATTATTGAATTTCAGAAAAGACTGTGAGGAAGCAATGACCGTTTTAACATATTTTTATTGGACTCACCTCAGGTTCTGTTACCACTATTGCTATCTCACTCTCTAACTCTGGGTCATTTAAGGTTTCTGACTTTTTAATTGCTAATCTCCATTTCTCTCCCCTGCCTCTTCCCACTGTGACTTCCTGTGGCCTCCCCACGTCACCTCGAGGGTACAGATTCTGATCAAGGTGCTGGGTTGCGACGGGACTGGGCGCTCTCTGTGGACTTCTGTTGACCTTGTGCAGGGATCTGACAGATTCCTCCTACTCCATTAGCAGTGTTTCCTCTTGGGAGTGGTTTCATCTCTGCGTTTCCACAAGCACCATCTTGCCATGGACTAGGTGGATGGCGCAAGAACCAGACAGGCAGCAGCAAGAAAATCAGGTCACAGATTCAACCAAATGTAGGGAGAAAGCTTGTGGTGCCTGGCGCTTCGTTCTCAGAAGGATTTCTTAATAGGCTAGTGCCTGCTCCTTCTCTCTCAATTGCTTCTTTCTTCTGAGTTTTTTTTTCATCATTTTAATAGTACCTCAGTACCAGACGTGTTATTCTTTTTCTGTTAAGATTACCTTTTACTTAATTGATTAGTTCAATTATTTTGTATTAAAGATGCAATATTTAAAGAGTCAAGTAATTCTGATGGGTTTATTGTAACCATTTTCCCAAGCAGCAATCCTTTGTAATCTCTGTTCCTCCATTTTTCCTGCTTTTTAGAAGCAACCACTTTCACCTCTTTTGGCTGATTCCTTGATATTTACCTGCATGTCCTTCAATAAGACGCTTTATTGTTCAGGGTTGGTCTTCCCCCTGTGGCAGGTAAGTAATTTAGCTGTCCTCCTCTCTCCCCCAACTTCATCATACACAGGCCCCCTTCCTAAAATCCTGTCTTCTCAGTGTAATTAATACCATAATGCTGATTAGATCAGTATTCTTCATTTATGTTATTATTATTTTTGACATAGGGTCTTCCTCTGTCGCCCAGGCTGGAGTGTAGTGGTGTGATCACAGCTCTACTGCAGCTTGACCTCCTGGGCCCGAGTGATCCTCCTACCTCAGCCTCCCAAGTACATGATCACAGGCAGGCACCACCAATGCACCTGGCTAATTGAAAAACATTTTTTTTTGTAGTGGTGGGATCCCCCTATGTTGCCCAGGCTGGTCTTAAACTACTGGTCTGATGTGATCCTTTTACCTAGGCCTCCCAAAGTGCTAGGATCACATAGGTGAGCCACCGCATCCAGCCTTCGTTTATATCATTATATTTTTGTGTGTTGTTAAGAGCTACGCCTTGTAGCAAAACTGTGGCTTCATTATTATTTCTGTACATGTTAATTTTTTTCTTGGATGGAGTTACTAATTGTCTTATGCTTTGTTTGTTTTTCTTTTCCCATTTGCTTGTCCTTTTGGATCTTGATTTTGCATTAGCGGCTTTCTAAGGGTACCTGGAAGCTTGCGTGCGAACATTCAGGAGCAGGGGACTGAAATATGAATCGGAAGCTGTGAATACATTTGGAGGGCTTGTCAGCCATCAGCTTCACCATAGATTGATTTCTTAAGCTAGTCCCCTTCTTTCAGTCTCTTGCCTAGACAGTGAAAGCCTGGCTGCCAGCCTTCTGGAACAAAATAAGGGAGGACGGCTGGTGGCCTCAGCATCCTATGTGCATGTATTCATCTAATTCCATTCACATGCCTTCAACTGTGCCATTTCTCCTCCAACACCACAGCTGCCAGTTCAGAGGCTCTCCCTTTAGTCTTTCTAGAAAATAAACTTCTAGTTATTTGTTGGGGTATGTGTGGGATGGGCAAATAGCCCAGGTGTGCAGGGTGGGGGAGAACATCTATGGATCTGGCCACTTCTTAGATGTGCAGCCAGGCCTGCTTAGTTTAGCATTTCCTCTACCCTAGAGCCTTTTGGAGCTTCTAAGGGGTAAAATGAGGTGGGTCTTATCTTTCCCCACTGCCAACTTAGGATTCAGGTCTGGATTCAGGTCTGCTGTGTCGTTTGTCACTCTTCCATCTGCATTCTAGCTTCCAATATTCTGCAGCAATTGACTCCCGTTTTATTCTCTCTGTCCTTGTTGGTTCGTGTCTTTAGAATAGAAATTCTTTTACTGTTCCTGAATGGAGTTTGAGGAGGAAGTAAAGGTGGCCTCGGCCTCATACATGTAAACTTCTCTTTTTACCTGAAAGCCTCACCATTTCTGCTTATTTACTGAACTGCCAAGGGTCTGAATTTTTAACAAGGAAATTCTAATGGTTCTTGGTAAACTCTAAAATTTACTTCAGAGGAGGAATGACAGACCACAGCCCTTTGATTAGGAAAATGTGTTTTTTTTAGGGGTTTTTTTTTTAATACCAGAGCCTTTCAAAAGGTTTAGTTCCCTACCCATAACTTTCTCCTTCTTCCATCTACATGTTTCTTTCTACCTGCTTCAACTCTCATTGTGTTTCCAGTAGAAAATGAAAGTTTTTATGGAGCCGTCATGGGAGGCATTGGGTTCCAGAGAATGTAGGTAGTTATGGGAAGACAGAAAAATGGGAGAGGTGGAGTCCGTATAGCCCATCATGTCATATCCATGTCATTCTTTCATCAAGACATCTGTGACTGTCCCTACCTCCTTCTTACTGTCTTGGAATCATAGCAGTGATTCTCTTTGAGGCTGTGGTTTTGCTTCATGGCTTCCAAACTTGAATCTCACCAAAATATTATTTATTTTTAACTAAGTCCTACCTTCCTGAGTTCAGAATTTGTTTTGAGATAGACAAAGGAACCATGCACATGGAGATCAAAATCTAATCTCTATTCTTGGTTTTTACTGGTAAAGCACTTTAAAAAATGTCATGTTAGGTCTGCCAGCCAGTAGGGGCATGTTAATATTTCAGCTCAGAATTTGACATCCAATCACTGACCAAATTGGCCTATGGTTGTCCAATGTGGTCTGTGATTGGATGTCAAATGTGTTTAAACCTCTAAAACTTAAGGCAAGAAAAAGAATAATAGCTCTTTCTATGAAGGAGTTTGTGAAGGAACTGAAAGAGATTTATGCTAACAGAAGTTCCTCACTATGGGAACATGAGGAGTGGAGAAATGTGTTCCATAACAGAAGGTGATATCTCATAGCAAAGACATTGGATCAACTTAAATGCCTATCGATGTTAGACTGAATAAAGAAAATTGTGGTACATATACACCATGGAATACTATGCAGTCATAAAAAAGAATGAGATAATGCCCTTTGCAGCAATATGGATGGGGCTGGAGGTCATTATCCTAAGTGAACTAACACAGCATCAGAAAACCAAATACTGCATGTTCTTACTTATAGTGGGAGGTGAACACTAAGTACACGTGGATACAAAGAAGGGAACAACAGACACCAGGGCCTACTTGAGGGTGGAGGGTGGGAGGAGGGTGAGGACAGAAAAGCTACCTATCAGGCTGGGCACAGTAGCTCAAGCCTGTAATCCCAGCACTTCAGGAGGCCAAGGTGGGAGGACTGTTTGAGCCCAGGAGTTCAAGACCAGCCTGAGCAACATAGTAAGAACCTGTCTCTCTAAAAAAACAAAAACAAAAAAATTAAGCTGGGTGGGTGTGGTGGCATATACCTGTAGTCCCAGCTACTTGGGAGGGTGAGGTGGGAGAATCACTTGAGACATTGGATATTGGGTATACAAGAGGTTGAGCCTGCAGTGAACTGTGATCATGCCACTGCATTCCAACCTGGGCAACAGAGCGAGACCCTGTCTCAAAAAAGAAAAACTACCTGTTGAGTACTATGCTTATTACCTGGGTGACAAAATAATCTATACACTAAACCTACTCCCACCCTGCCCCATGATGCAGTTTACCCAAGTTTGTTATACAAAGTTGCACCTGAACCTAAAATAAAAGTTAAAAAAAGATGATATCAATTCTTCTTAAGACACATGATTAATGTATAGCAGATGCTCAGAAAAAATACTATGTTAAATCAGGTTGTATGACACATTCAGATTTCAGAAACGTGAAAGTCATTTTTACATCTTAGAAATGAGGGGAGTATAGTGTTATAAGTTATCAGCCATTCATTCCTTTGATAAAAAGCCTCTAAGGTTTGGACCAAGTGGAGAGTACACCCTCAACTGGAATGGGGAGCCCCAGCTCTAATCCCAGTCCTGTTACAAACTAGTTAGTTAGGAGTCCTTGGCTCCGTTGAACCTCTACACCTGCTTTTCATCTGCTCAGCAAGGAGTGGAAGACCAGCTAAACAGATAAAAGGGACTAAGGGCAAGACCTGAACTCCCACAGCTAATTAATTTCAGAGTGGGCATGAAAACCCAAGTGTCCCCCTTCCCTAGTCTCATGTGTTTAGATTGGCCTGAATTGAATTTGGACAAGATAGTTACAGCACAAAGCAATCATTGCTTTGCTCACTCTTTCACTCATTCAACTGGTATCAATTGAGCATTTTTTAAATGCTAAATACTGTGTTGGATGAATGAGACATATTCTGTCTGTAGAAGCATACAGCCTACTGTGTGTACAGCTGAGAGGGACCCCTGCACTGCTGCCCTCACGTGAAGGGCTTCAGACTGATCCGTGGAAGAGACCAGACCTTCCTAGTTGCCTTGAAGCCGTCGTCCCTCCTGTGCTTTCCCTGAGACCTGAAGTAGTGCCCTTTCTGCTGACGTGACCGACCGCCAAGAGCTGGCTCTCACCAGCTTATCGCAAAAGCTCTTCAAGTGCCGCAAGAGAGGAAATTACACAGCAGAGCCCAGAATCATATATTGGCCTCATTACGGGTTTTCTCTTCCTGTTTATAGGGTGCTCAAGCTGGTATTACTACGTAACCATGCCGATGCCAGCCTCCACCTTCACAATTGCAGTGGGATGCTGGACAGAAGTGAAGATGGAGACGTGCTCATCGGGTGATTTGGCAACAGAGACACCCTTCTCACCTTCTGAGGCCGACTTCAGGTTTGTGTGGGGACTTGCTGGGAAGGAAAAAAAACACTTGAGGGAGTGGTATGATGCATTTCTTCCAAGCACTGGGAATGTGAGTCATTCCTGCTGAGAAACTGAACCAAAATAGGATTAATCAAAGCAGGAAAAGCCCTGTTAGAAAGGAAAGAGAGGGCCGGGCGCGGTGACTCACGCCTGTAATCCCAGCACTTTGGGAGGCCGAGGTGGGTGGATCACGAGGTCAAGAGATTGAGACCATCCTGACCAACATGGTGAAACCCCATCTCTACTAAAAATACAAAAAAATTAGCCAGGTGTGGTGGCGGATGCCTATAGTCCCAGCAACATGGGAGGCTGAGGCAGGAGAATGGCTTGAACCCGGGAAGCAGAGGTTGCAGTGAACTGAGATTGTGCCACTGCACTCCAGCCTGGCGACAAACTGAGACTGTCTCAAAAAAAAAAAAAAAAGAAGAAGAAAGAGAGGCTGGGTGCGGTGGCTCAAGCCTATAATCCCCCACTTTGGGAGGTTGAGGTGGGTGGATCACGAGGTCAGGAGTTCAAGACCAGCCTGGCCAACATGGTGAAACCACATCTCTACTAAAAATACAGAAATTAGCCAGGCGTGGTGGCACCTGTCTGTAATCCCAGCTATTCGGGAGGCTGAGGCAGGAGAATTGCTTGAACCTGGGAGGCAGAGGTTGCAGTGAGCCGAGATTGTGCCATTGCACTCTAGCCTGGAGACAGAGCGAGACTCTGTCTTGGAAAAGAAAGGAAAAAGAGTTGAGAAGAAGAGATGTGAGCCTATTATTTATGCAGAAAGAGAGAAGAAGGTAAGTATATATGAAATCCTGTGAAGTGTGCTGAAATATTTATATGTGTTTGGCTAAATTCAAGGAATCCTCAGATTCAATGCCTCCTCTCCTCCCATGCCTTTTAAGTTTGGTTTTCGGTGCTTATGTGGTCAAAAACAAAGCTGCTGATGGATTACTTTCTATGCTACTCTGCTGTGTTGGTTGTACCGACTGCTGTCAGCGGTGCACTGTGGGGACAGCAGCTCCCTCAGTGGGGCTAGTCGCTGCTTTAGGAGCACAGGACACAAGGAAACTGACGCAAAGCCCTTGGGTTAAGGGAATCCTGCTTGGTCAGGGCTTTGTTAACATCAGTAGTGATTTCTTTTTTTTTAAGTATGAACCAGATAAAATCATTTTGAGGCTTTAAAAAATTAGTATAGGCCATTGGATATTTACTGGCAGCCTGTCTAGATGTTCAATGGTTTCTAGCTTTGAGAGCCAAAAGAGGGAGAAGGGGGACGCCGAGAAGATGCACAGCACATGCATCATGCATCGCTCCTAGGATTTTATACCCAGCTCAACGGAGTCATTTTTCCTATTGACAGACAGTCGCTAAGTCAGTACCTTCTGGTGGAGAAAGCCCAGAGTAATGGTAGGGATGATTCATTACTCCTTAAAACCCAGCTAAGATACACTCCTAATGCAGATTCTTTTTGTGTTGGTTTTATTTTGCCTTGCTGCTTTTACGAGTACCACAGTAACTGCGGCAGTTGGTCTTCATCTTTCAGAGATGACGCTATGTTCTCTCTCTTCCTGTGGGCACGTATTATTGCTGCATTTTGCCTTTCAGAGATGAAGCTATGTTCTCTCTCTTCCGGTGGGCACGTATTATTGCTGCGTTTTGCCTTTCAGAGATGAAGCTATGTTCTGTCTGTCTTCCGGTGGGCACGTATTATTGCTGCGTTTTGCCTTTCAGAGATGAAGCTATGTTCTGTCTGTCTTCCGGTGGGCATGTATTATTGCCGCGTTTTGCCTTTCAGAGATGACGCTATGTTCTCTCTCTTCCGGTGGGCACGTATTATTGCTGCGTTTTGCCTTGCTTGGCGGAAGGGAGGTCATTTCCACCTCCTGTTCAGTAGCTTGCCTAGTTTGGACTGTCTTCCCTGAGCTATATGAACATCCTAGATTGCATATTAGATTTTACTTCTGTATTCTTGAGGGAAGAAGGGAATTGTGGGCAGAAGTGACATATGCTAGTTTCATGTGGGAACTTTAATTTCGTGTGAGATCCTCCTGTGCTCTCTTCCCTGCAGTAGGATCCCACAGGAGGCTTTGTTCTGTAATTTCAGGTGGCCTGAATTTCTGGGTGAGGATGACAGGTGCTCTGGAGAGTCGCTTAGATCTGCGGTGGACTTGGTATTAGCAAGAAGCACAGTTTTGTGTTAAGCCACTGAAACACCAGGGTTGTTTGTTACTGCAGCATATCCTAGGCTATCCTGAATTGATACAGTAGCCATTGGTTGTTCCAAGTCAGAAACTAAGTCTTGATCTAAATGTAATCTCCTTTAGTCCTAAGGATAGGCCTGCAAGACAGATTGGATAGATTATTATTCCCATTTTATAGATAAGGCTGTTGAAGCTCAGATAGTAACTTGTTAACATTAATATACCTACTAAGTAGCAATACCTGGATTTATATCCAGGCCTGACCCCAGAGAGAGGTGAGTCAGAATCTTACCTGGAGACTTTAAAAAACTATATGTAACATTGACGCCTCACATGGAGTCTGATCCACCTTCCCATCTGGAGAGTCACTGCCATGATTTGAGCCACCATGATTGACGGGAGTGTGTTGTGTTGGAACAGAAAACAGAAGTTGGGAGCAATGCCTTTGAGCCTGAAAGTGCCATTCTTGGTGGTTGGATGTAGCTCTTTGGACAAAGCCACACTTTCCTTGTCTATAGATGAAGGCTTTGTCCGTGGCTCCTCAGATTCTCGATGGTGACGAAGTACTCTTCTCATTTTCATCTAAGGCCTCAGCATTGATTGATTCTTAGAGGAGCTGCTCAGTTGGAAAATGTGTGCCTTTGGAAGTCTAGGGGAAGGCAAGGACGACATTTGTTATTTTCCTTTCTAGCCGTATTCCAAAGAGATGTGGGGTTGGGGAGTGGGCAGCAGCCCCTGACTCTGTGCTCTCTCCTTCCTGCTCAGAAGCAGCTTAAATGGCTTCTCAGTTTTCTTGCATCCACTATTCTGAAAGGAGGAAGAAATGGTTAGATCAAATGAAGATTCTGGGATGTCTAAGATTCCCGTCGGGCTTTAGGGGAAGAAGCAGGTACAACTCCGCTCTTGCCTCCTGAATTCACCAGTTGAGGAACGGACAGAGGAGATAAAAATAAAGGTTTGTTATTGACAGAAGCTGGACTGAAGGAATGCTCAGGTGCATGGTCTCAGTGGGGTTTCTGAGACTCCATTTCCAAATGAGACAAATTTACCCCCCTGGTTACCAGCCCAGCTGGACCGCCGCTGGCCTCTGTAACACAGATGCAGGGTCCACCCGACATGTGGCAGGAGCAGGTCCAAAGTGCACCCGCTGTGGGCAGGCAGGTTCGAAAGAGAAAGCCCGTGTGGCCCAGCCAGTCAGGTAAGCTGGGGAGAGAGGCCCGGGTGCCACCCTAGGAAGCGCATCTTTCCGTGGAACTGTGAGGCCTGGTGAATGGGGTTCCTCCCATGCCCCCTTCCGTGTCTCATAAACCGTGAGTTTTCCCTTCCTTTATCAAGATGCTCGTCCTTCAGGAATATGCTGCTGATAAAATCACAGCTTGCGTTTGCTTAGTCCTGCCCTGGCTGTGCGCTTCTTGTGTGCCGTCTTCAGTTGTCAGAAAGTGGCTTTGTTTTCATCCATTACGTTGCTGACTCCATGCAAAGTTTGTCAGCAAAGGTGCTCTGAAGTGCCAGTCACAGTGGTGTTTTTTGGTTATGCTCACATCTGGTCCCTTTTGCCTTCCCCAGCACCCGTTCTACTTCAAACCTTCCTAAGACCACCAGTCAAATTCATGTAAATCCAACTTCCACAGGGGCCTGCTATACCACAGGTTTTCATCTGCCTCAAGTGCTCATCTGGGTTCCAGAAATTTGACCAAAGTGTTGGTCACTGAACTTTTATGATCGATGTTCATGTGGGTAAAATTATAGTAAGAACGTTCCCTCTTCCAGCTCCACTTTCACACGTGCTCCAGCCACTCTGGGTGAGCATTTTAGTAAATACATTGATTATAAGGCTTTCGGATAAGCTGTTGAAAGTTTATTAATTTTATTCAGCTGTAGTAGAACCTTCTTCAGCCACAGGGGACTCTTTGTGTTTTGTTTCTTTAACCTCTTGAGGTCTTCGTGGGGGCCACACAGTTTAAACATGACACAGAAACTTGGATAAAGTCCAAAGGAACTTAGCAAAAATGATTAAAGGCATGGAAAATGGGCACTACAAAGAAGAAAACGCATTGAGACTGATTATTTGAAAGAAGAATCTGGTGGGGAACAGGTCTTCTTTAGCGTTGTAAAGTAATGAAAAGTTGCTTTGATAGGAAGTACGGCATATTTGAGTCGGTGCTGAATCTATGGAAGACTATCGCTTTGTAAAAAGCACAGAATCGGCAGGCGCGGTGGCTCAGCCTGTAATCCCAGCACTGTGGGAGGCCGAGGCGGGCGGATCACGAGGTCAGGAGATCAAGAGCATCCTGGCCAACATGGTGAAACCCCGTCTCTACTAAAAATACAAAAATTAGTTGGGCGTGGTGGCGGGCACCTGTAGTCCCAGCTTACGGGAAGGTGAGGCAGGAGAATGGCGTGAACCTGGGAGTTGCACCACTGCGCTCCAGCCTGGCGACAGAATGAGACTCCGTCTCAAAAAAAAAAAAAAAAAAGTACAACCCCCTGACCTCTTCAGAAACAAGGCGATTCTATGAACAATGGCTCGTGTGCTCAGTTATCACAGAATCATAGTGCCAAAAGAAACCTTAGAAAACATTTCTGTTTAACTTTTAAGTATAATTAACATACAACAAAATGTGCAGATCTTACGTGTTCAGCTTAATGAGTGTACGATGTTGCACACAGCCTAAACCCGACAGAGCGCACTCTGTCTCTGCAGTAAGTTAGTAAATTCTCTCACACCCCCATTTTTTTTTTTTCTTTTTTTTTTTTTGAGACAGAGTGATGCTCTGTCACCCAGGCTGGAGTGCAGTGGTGCGATCTTCGCTCACTGCATCTCTGCCTCTCAGGTTCAAGTGATTCTCCTGCCTCAGTCTCCCAAGTAGCTGGGATTACAGGCATGCGCCACCACACTTGGCTAATTTTTTTGTACTTTTAGTAGAGATGGGGTTTTACCATGTTGGCCAGGCTGGTCTCAAACTCCTGACCTCAAGTGATCTACCTGCCTCAGCCTCCGAAAGTGCTGGGATTACAGGCATGAGCCACAGTGTCTGGCCTCTCCTATCCTTTTCTAACTATTTCCTTACCTCCTCCAGCAGCCACTTTGGTGAGACCATGTTAAAGATGGGGAAAAAGAAGCCCCAGATACTGAGTTGCCTGCCTTGGTCACAAGTGAGCCGGTCTGAGAAGACCGTGAAGCCCAGGTTTCCTGATCGCTATGTGGGAGCGCAGAGTGGCTTTCCTGTTGCCCCTTCCATTTCCGTTTCTGTGGGAGCCTTACTGTTCTCACCTGGTCGGAGCTCGAGCGCCTTAAAGTCCTGCATCTGTTCCCAGGCTCTGATTATAACAGTACTAAGTCACACAGCCGGAGTCATCTTCATCTCTGAACTAGTGCCTTGTATTCCCAGAGAGACTCTAACACCTTGTTCCTGACTGGAAAAGAATATGAGAGAACTTACCATGGAGACGGAATGTTGTCTCTCAGGTTTGGGTCGTGTACGATCATCAGAAATTCATCAAGCCAAACACTTTTGGGTATATCTTTGGCTACCTCAGTATTCTCTAACTTTCGGGTTCTTGGCAGCAGGAAATCATCTTTCCCTGTGTTGTGTTTAGAGGCCATTAGAATGACCTTTTTGCAAAACTGTGCTGTGGTAGATGTAATGTGAGCTTATTTCTCAGTTTTGTCCAGAAGATGCCTGCACATGTCTGGTTTAACATGATCTGAAAGCTTTGCAATAGAGATGGTATGAACTGAAATGACGGTGGCACATTATATACCTGTGTAAATACATGAGAAAAAGATATCGTGGTGGTTAATTTAATCAATGGCATTTTCACTACTTGTCATTAGGTGGGCATTGCAGCCTTTTTAGGTAAATGTTCACCAGCAGGCACCTTGACTCACTCTCTCCACAAAGCAAGGTTATCAATCCAGGGACTTTGGCCAGAATTCAATGTCAAGAATTATATTCTTCATGTCGTCTTATTCTGACACGTTTTTATGGACCTCCATCCATTTTCTTACTCTCCGCTGTGGTGAAATGCCTTCGGTGCTGGAAGCTGTGTTCCATGAACCGTGCTGGTAGAAGGTGAGGCTTACCTGTACCTAGCCATATGGTCTCCTGAGCGCTGGCCTTGGGTAAGTGAAAGGTACTTCATACATTTGGAGAGGAATTGTTGCATTCTGCCCATATTGGGACATGCCAGCATCTTAAGATTTTTCATTATACTGTGAATCAAGTGAGCACCTGTAGTTAGAATTGACTGAGTGCAGTGGCTCGTGCCTGTGATTCCAGCACTTTGGGAGGATGAGGCAGGAGGATCGTTTGAAGCCAGAAGTTTGAGACCTCTCTGGCTTACAAAGTGAGACCCCATCTCCAGACCCCATCTCTTAAAAAAAAAAAAAAGAACCGCATGTGGTATGGCAACGTGGGTGTAGTCCTAGCTACTCAGGAGGCTGAGGTAGGAGGATTGTTTGAGCCCAGGAGTTGGAGGCTACAGTGAGCTATGACCCTGCCACTGCAGTCCAGCCTGGGCAACAGAGTGAAACCCTATGTTAAATAATAATAATAATGATAGGCCGGCGCGGTGACTCATGCCTGTAATCCCAGCTCTTTGGGAGGCTGAGGCGGGTGGATTAACTGAGGTCAGGAGTTTGAGACCAGCCTGGCCAACATGGAAAAACCCTGTCTCTACTAAAAATACAAAATTAGCCAGGCATGGTGGCGGGCCCCTGTAATCCCAGCTACTCGGGAGGCTGAGTCAAGAGAATCACTTGAACCTGGGAGGTGGAAGTTGCAGTGAGCTGAGATCACACCACTGCCCTCCAGCCTGGGAAACAGAGCTTGACTCCATCTAAAAAAAAAAATAATAAAATAAAATAAATAATAATGATTCCAGGGGATTTTCATTGTGTTTGAATAAAAGACATGTTAGCAGGTGAAAAAATGGAGTACTGTTGGATATAGGTTTGAGTAGATAAGTTCTCTTGCAGCCTGTGAGTCAGGTTCTAGGAATTCTCTTTCAGTTCCGCCTTTGATGGAATAACTGGCAGTGGTCAGATGAAGCAGGCGGGGGTCTGATCTGCTTCCTTAAAAGGTTGGCTCAGTTAAATTTGTACTGAAAGTGGGTTGGGAAAAATACTGTATCAAAAGTGCCTCTGTATTCCTTAATAACAGCTTTTGATGGGCTGTGAAAAGAACATCCAGATTTCTATTCAGTAAAATGGTTTGTGTTCTTTTGAGGAGTCTGAGCCTGTAACTTTTGTTGGGTTCATGGTTCTGCCTCAGTCCAAGTCTTTTCTTCTAGGTAATCCCAGAATTGGATCTTTAACTTGTGTGTACTGCTCCTTCCTTTCTAAGTTAGGAATGGTCTCTAATTTGGAGATTGTTCATATGGTGATACTTGAAAACACCTAATCGAGGGCAGGAATTGTTTGTATTTTGGTGAGAAGTTTTACTGTTTTGAGTCTTAGAGGTCCCCCCACAACAAAGTTAATTCTAAAACAAGATTTTAGTGCTTTCACTTACCTTAGATTGAAGCTAGTCTGTTGATTCAAACACACGAATAAGTTTTTATCCTGTAAATTTTCACTGCTGCACAGAGCCAGTCAAGCCAAGAATTGAAATGAACAGTCTTTGCTTGTGAGTCTGTCTGAACCTCTGTCTCCTAAAAGTTGTCTACATCTGCAAGATTGCCTCACCTCCACAGCAAGAATAATAAACATGGTTTACCATTTATTTTGTGTTGTTCCCAGGCATGTTGGTGTTTGCAGTCACATGGAATACCCCTGCCGCTTCCAGAATGCTTCTGCCACCACCCAGCAGATCATTCCTCATCGTGTCTTTGCCCCTGTGTGCCTCGCGGGTGCCTGCCAAGAGACCCTTCTGCAGCTGATCCCTCCTTGCCTCTCAGCAGCACATTCTATTCTGGGAACACACCCGTTCTCTCGGCTGGATGTTCTCATCGTCCCTGCCAACTTTCCGAGTCTGGGGATGGCCAGGTATGTCGTTCCGTTGTGGCACTTGGGGTACGTACATTTGGAAATTCTTTGACTATGTCTTGCTTTCCTTGAGCTCTGTCAGAGCTGTCGTTTGATTAGAATGGAAGGGCTGTGGTTGCTCATGCTTGGACATCTCATTGCTGCCTTGAGGAACAATTTTAATGCAGACTCCCTCATGCATGAGCCTTTGAGTGTCGTGGGCTCAGTTCAGACTGTGTTGAAAAGAAAAGGCTCACATTGTTGCTGGGATGAGAATGCAGAGTGCCCCTGAGTGGTGAGTGTTGGGTCATGGCTGGTCAGTGGCTGTTAGCTTGGATGATGACAGCGTAGTGCTAATGAGCCCAAGGTTATAGCATCGGGCTCTGGGCACAGTAACATGACTTGGTCCCAAGCCACAGGCTGCTCAGCTAATTCTGACCAGCTGTCTCGTCCATTCTCACCACTGGGCACAAGGGCACCGACTTGAGAGCCCCTGTGTCAAATAGACTGTGGATGGATCAGTGTAAATCCATCCCTATTGCCAGAAAAACAGCTCAAAGCAGATGACTTACTGTGGGGGGCAGAGAAGGAGTCACGTGCTACTGTTTTTTAATATAATAAATGCACTTTTGCTATTGTGTCTTGGTTTGGCTCCCTGTATTTATGTAAGCTAAACTCTGTTCATTAATGCCATTGTTCAGTCATTAATGGGTGTCTGTGTTCCAGTGAGAAAAGATAGAGAATGTGCTTGGTTATATTTCCATTTGAAAATCTTAATCATTAACAGTGAATATGCTTGACTGAGGATGGGAAAAATAAGCTCATCAAAACATGTGACTTTAAGTTTTTCCCTATTAGTCAAGGAAATTCCTGCTGCCAATTAATTCCCATGCTTTTGAGCAGCTGTCATTTGTGGTGTTTTCCCTGAAAACTGCACACATTCTTAGTAAAATCATGAGCAGAAAAGAACTGACCAGAACATTTGCTTTTGATCTTTACTACATATATGTACTTTCAAAAGACTGGCTGGCTCGCCTGAATCCTTGAGGAGGTCTGAGAAAGTCATTTAGACTGATTTTTATCCTATATTTATGAAGATAATGGGAATGCAGAAACTAGGATAATTGTATATATCTGGTTATGTGCCTCATGTAATTGTCTTGGATATCTATACATAGAATTTGTCTTAACGGCGGTGGGGGGCTTCTTTTGTCCCTTTGAAGAGTCTGCTGGACTTAATTTAAGTAGTAGAAGTGTTGGTGAAGAAAGAGTTGTTCATTACATGTTTCTTATTTGTACACAGGTTTGAGGGGCCCTATTTACTTGGGAGTTTTTAGCGCTTTATGAGAACTGTAGTTTTTTAAGGCATGCTTGCTAGCAGTTCCAAGTTCTGGCCTGAGGGAACCAAAGGCAGAGTATTTTTCGTGCACAGGATTCTGTTTTCTACAGCTCCTTCCTGACATCAGTCTGCCAAAGCCAGAATGAGTTGACCTGCAGGCCATTCTGTAGAGCTTCTCTTTTCAAGTTTGCATGCCCAAGCAGGTAGGCTGTGTGTTTGCTGCTTTTTGCAGTATTTAAAGTGATTTAAACATGCTTAACTCTGTATTTTTAAAGTAGTAAGCCTAAGTACCGTAAGGCCAAATGGTCCTGGGCACAAATGTTGAAAAATATGATGGTGACGGTGACCGAGCAGCAACAAGACGCTTTTATGCTTAAAAGCAGGAGAACCGCACATTCAGAATTTGTGGTGGGTTGTCAAATATCATTTTTCCTTCCTTTTAGACTGTGGGAGTGAAGTCTGCCCAGGGCTGGATGTTTTTCTGGACTTGTTACCGTTCCCTGGACGAGAGCTGTGGAAGGAGGACTGTGGTATCTTCCACTGCCAGTCGGGGTGGGGAAGGGGAGCGCTCTGTTTTGCCAAACTCTGACTTCAGCTGATTCCACTTGCTTGACTTGACTCTGTCGGGATCCCAACACCTTGGGCCACATGCGGCTGAGTGGGGTGTATGACTCAGCTGGCTACTGGGGCCCTGCGGCTTTATTTATGGTCGAGGCTTTGCTTGAGGTTTTATAAAGTGAAGCTAAAACAAAAACGATGGTTTTGTAAGTCAGCTTCGTACCTAAACAGGAATAGAGAAACTTCAAGGCTAGGAGGAGTCGTCCAAAAAGACCTCCACACTGAAACTTGCCATTGTCCTCGTAGATATAATACGCCAAGAGATCAAAGGGCTTCTTGGTAAATTAAATGGCTCCTTCCCGAGTCCATATTTTATAAACATGTAGGCAAGATGATAAATTCCATACCTCTGGACTTCTTTAGTGATCGGGTCTTAACTCTAGTGAACGGCTGGTTTTATGCCATTCCTGTGTATTTTCTTTTTTGGCAAATGATGTTAAACGTTCCCTCCTGAACTAAAATGGGAACATTGTTATTGATCATGTCAAGGAGTTTCTGAGCATTTTGGATGATATTCATGATGATTTCACTATTTTAAATATTGCATATCATGGTTTTCATGAATAAGCTGAAAGATCTCCTCTTTGGTTCTGGTATTTCAGTGAAGTGGGGAAGAAACACATTTATAAAACTTGAATGTATGATGATGACAAATCAGTTTATAAGAAGGCAAATAATACACAAGTAATATTTTAGAATTTTGAATGCTTTTCAAACATGGCAGTAACTAGAACATTTATCAGTACTGCTCTTCATGATTTTTGTCACCTTTTAATATAACAGGAGCCATTACTAACTGACCCCTCCCTGCCCCAGTCCTTTTCCGCATCACTGTCCAGGGGAGAGGGGCGTTCATTCTCTGCTGAGAAAAATCGCTGGTTTGCCTTTCAGATGCTCTGCTCAGCGGGTGTGTGTGGCCTTTCAGTTTTTGTTCCATTGCGTTTTTGCCTTCCATGAAGACGGAATCTGCCATGTCAGGAACCGTGAAGTGTACATTCCTTGACTTGACTACTGTGATGTCTGTATGAAGATATGCATGTGTTTAAAATGCATCTCTGAAGCACACACAGCTCTCTTCCTGTTGGTTTAATTAATATTCTACCATTTTCATTGTCCTCATGTGTTCTCAGAGTCTCTGCTGGGGATTGACTGGCAAGTGTAATATCTTAACTTTGAGAAACACATGAAAGGAGCTCATCATCACACTTACACTCTCTGTTATAACAGCAGTAACGTTAATGGAATCATATTCTAGAACCAGGCTTATGGCAGTTGCTTAAAATGAACAGCTTAATCTTACCTGTATGTGTGTGTAATAAATGCTTTGCTTCACATTTGTCGTTCAGCAGTTCACAATTACATGTCATGGCATAATTAGGTTGGCAGAACTACCCTGCTGACGTCCAAATATGTTCTTTTTTTTTCCTTGTATTTGGATTTCAAGAATCTCTTGCAACTTATTTCAGAGTGGTTTTCCGTGAAGAACACTGAAGTTAAAAGCCATGTGTTCTGTAGTTCTGCTTCATGGCTCAGCTGTTCACATGCATCTTCACCCTTCATCCCACTGGGAAAAGTGAGGGGAAAAAATGACTATCGTGTGGCTGATGACAGGTGACAGATTCTTTGACCTTTTCCCCACTCGTTCTTGTTCTTGTCCCGACCAGATAGTCTTGATCATTTGGTTCTTGTTTATTTATTCTTACAATAAATATTTATCAAGTGTATACTGTGTGCCAGATAGTACTTACGATGCAGAGCCTACAAGGGTGAACGAGATTGAGGAGGTCTCTGTCCTTATGAAATGGACATTCTAGTCGGGAGAAAATTAGTGTGCCTGAAACAAGTAATTAAGACGTATGCTATGAAGAAAATAAAATCAAGTAAGTGTCACAGTGGGAGAATCAATAGCATCGTTAGGGTGAGAGGGAAAAGCTTCCTTAAAGAGTGACATGCGGCCGGGCGCGGTGGCTCAAGCCTGTAATCCCAGCACTTTGGGAGGCCGAGACGGGCGGATCACGAGGTCAGGAGATCGAGACCATCCTGGCTAACCCGGTGAAACCCCATCTCTACTAAAAAATACAAAAATCTAGCCGGGCGAGGTGGCGGGCGCCTGTAGTCCCAGCTACTCGGGAGGCTGAGGCAGGAGAATGGCGTGAACCCGGGAGGCGGAGCTTGCAGTGAGCTGAGATCCGGCCACTGCACTCCAGCCTGGGCGACAGAGCGAAACTCCGCCTCAAAAAAAAAAAAAAAAAAAAAAGAGTGACATGCAGGCTAAGACTGAAGAATATAAAGGACTCAGCTTTGTGACCATCTGGTGGAAAAGCACTCAGTCCACGGGCCTCAAGGTGGGAACCACCCTCGTGGGTTGGAGTATAGGAACCTAGTTTTTAGATTCCTTCCTCGGCTGGGGTCGCCGCAAGAGACCACTCGACACGGAAGTCACAGCGGAGAGATTTATTGCTAGCGCGCTAGGGTCCTATGTCCAAAGTTGGCCACAGGACCTCGAATGCTTGTTACAGACAGTTTATAAAGGCAAAAACTACAAAAATTCACAAAGCTTGAGGTGCAAGATGATTGGAGCAGGTTATGGCCTGAGCAAGATGTCTTACTCTAATTGGTTGGTTTGAACCTGGTTTGAACCCGCACGGGGTATTTCCCAGACTTGTTCTTCTGTTTGAGTTCCAGGAATATGGGTGGGTGTTTTAGATAGCCACACGGACATCAGGCGGGTGCTTTAGATGGCCACCTGGTCGTTGGGTGGGTGCTTTGAGATAGCCACCTGGTGTGGCTTTTCTAAGCTTCTAAGTTTCTAAGTCTCTAAGTCTCTGAGCTTCTAAGTCTATAAGTTTCTAAGTCTCTAAGTTTCTAAGTCTATAAGTTTCTAAGTCTAAAAGTCTAAAGGTTTCTAAGTTTCTAAAGGCTTCTAAGTTTCTAAATCTATTTTCAGGAGGAGTAGAGTGAAGGCCAGGATGGTGGCAGGTCAGTGAGGTCTTAGAACGGCTTTCCCTTAGCCCCGTCCTTAGTCAACTTGGGTGCCCGGAGCAAGTGAGCCACTAAGAAATGGCAAGATTGAGTCAGGTCCATCATTCTAGGCAGACAGGGGTTATGGGAAGAGACCAAATCTTTTTTTTTTTTTCTTGGGACCGCAGATACCCATACCATCTCCCGACT